GAGCTCTGGACTGAGGGAGTATTGCAGTGGGCATGTGAAAACATGGGAACTAGAGCAAGCATCAGAAATAGAAATTAATTTGCAAGATCAAAACAAACTACAAATGGCCAACAATGAGCTTTTCGTTTGGCAAGCCTGCTACATGGCTAAATAAGCAGGAGTAGGTGGCCAGCATTGGTAAACAGCTCTATGTCTGTCCTCAGCACTACACTGAGGCACTGTGTCCTGGAGACAAAGCTTGGCAGGGGCTAGAGGAGAGCTTCCAAAACAGGGAGAGGCTGGCGAACAAGCTGCATCCCTCCCATGGAGAAGGTGAGACCAAGACCCTGAGGTGGAGGAGGGACAGCCCATCTCTCCCTGACTTCAGCATAATCGCTCCAACTGACTGTGTGGTCTCTTTCAATCTGAACTGTTCTGTGTCTTCCAGGCATGAAGAGCTGAATCTCATGCCTAGGAGTGACCTTTCTTCCCTCATTCTTTCTGACCTTCCTTTCCTCCTCCTCCTTTCCGCAAATATGTAGGTTGTGCCTATGATGTGCCAGGTGCTCTTCTAGGTGCTAACGTTACAGAAATGAACAAAATAAGTAAAAATAACTGCCCTCATGGAAGTTAGATTCTAGCAGAGGGAGCTAGCCAATAAATAGGTAAAATAGCTAATATGTCAGATGGTGAGAAATGCTGTGCCAAACTAGAGCAGGGGAGGAGATGGCACGTGCTGTGGCGAGGAAGCACGCAAGCCTCTTGCTTCAAATAGAATATTCAGTGAGCGCCTCACTCATAAGGATATTTGAGCAGCAACTTAAAGGAAGTGAGAGAGCAATGCATGCAGATGTTTGGGGGAAAATCTTCCACGCAGAGAGAATAACCGCAAAGCCCCTGAGGCAAGAGTGCGCCTTACCGGTTGGGGCCATTGTGGCTGTAGCACAGGGAGGGAGACAGTGGCAGTATTTTCGTCCGAGAGGTAGCAAGGCGAGAAGTAGCAGGTAGTTGTCTATGAGACGGACGGCCAGCCAGTGCAGGGACTGGGGAGTAAGGACTGACAGGACCAAGTGTAAATTTTTTTTTTTAAGGTGGAGTCTCCCTCTGTCACCAGGCTGGAGCACAGTGGCGCGCTCCCGGCTCACTACAACCTCCACCTCCCAGGTTCAAGTGATTATCCTGCCTCAGCCTCCTGAGCAGCTGGGACTAGAGATGTGCTACCACGCCCAGCTAATTTTTGTATTTTTAGTAGAGGTGGGGTTTCACCATGTTGGCCGGGATAGTCTCAATCTTCTGACCTCGCCATCTGCCCACCTCAGCCTCCGAAAGTGCCGGGACTACAGGCATAAGCCACCTTGCTCAGCCCGAAGTGTAGATTTTAAGGATTTTTCCAGCTGGCTGTGTTAGAATAGACTGTAGATGGGCCTTAGACACAGCAAGATCAACAACTGGGAATGAGAATGAGGGAGAAGGTAGGGAGGTTTTGGAAGAGGAAGGTGTGCAATAGTCACCCAGGAGAATGAGAGACCGAGTGAACTCGGGAAGTCTGGTAGAATTGCCAGGGTCCACGTGGAGGTGGTGGTCACTACTAATGGCCCTCAAGTTAAAGTGCACAGAATTTTGTATTTCCTCCCAGTCCTGTTATTCTGTGCAGATACAGGCACTGAGAGGGTGGGAAGCTTATTTCACCAGGGTTAGGTATTGCCAGAAGAGTGCAATGAAGTCAAAACAGATTAAGGGATTTGGGTGAGTGCAAGAGAGAGAGTATAATAACGTGTGTAATCTAAGTTGGGTGGTGAAGAAAGTGCTAACATGAAAGGATGCTAGGTAGTGAGAGGGTGGTAGGATAATGATCACAGACCTCAGTGATGCCAAAGAATTGCTGGTGTTGCAGCATGAGAGGAAGTGAGCTAAAGGGATAAAGATTGTATTAGCTAGATATGCTAGTGGATACTTGTCCTCCCTTAATTCAGCCCCTGGTGCTCGTGGCCATGCTCTAGACCAAGAGCTACAATCCTTCTATGACCAGAATTACAAGCATCTCACTGTCTCATCACCACCTCTATAACAGAGATGGCTAACTGGCCACCAAAATGTATGTCACCCCTTCTGTAGTGTAGCTATCTCTGAGACGTGGCTGCCTGGACACCTTGACGGTGGCCATGAGACTAGTTCTTGCTAATGACACATGAGTGGCAATGGTGGGACTCAATTCTGGTCCCAGGCTTTGAAGAAGTTACGTTTCTTCAAATATATGTCAGGAATGACAGATGTCACATTTTGGTGACCAGTTAGCCATCTGTTATAGAGGTGGTGATGAGACAGTGGGATACTGGTAATTCTGATCATAGAAGGATTGTAGCTCTTGATCAAATAGGTCTCAGGAATGACAGATGTCTATTTCTCACTAGCGTAAGAACTAAAAACAATTATATTGCACAGATAGTTCTCCTCCATGTGGGAATTCAGGGACCCAGGCCACTTTCATCTTGGGGCTCCACCATTCCTTAGGGCCCCATGATCATCTGCATATAGCTAGCAGAAGAGGAAAATAAAAATGCAACTTCTTCAAAGCCTGGGACCAGAGGTGATTCTCACCATTGCCACTCACGTGTCATTGGCAAGAACTAGTCTCATGGCCATCCAGCAAGGCAGCTGGGCCACCATGTCTCAGAGGTAGCGACACTACGGAATATTCTGGTGGCCAGTTAGCCATCTCTGTTATAGAGGTGGTGATGAGACGATGGGATGCTTATAATTCTGATCATAGAAGGATTGTAGCTCTTGGTTTAGAGAATGGCCACGAGGACCAGTGGCTGAATTAGGGGAGGACAAAGTTATTGGAGGACTGGTGGGCTGGATGTGAGACGTCCTATAGGGACTGGAAACAGGTGTTGACACCAGCAGGAGTTACGCCTGGAGCAGTGTTGGAGAGGCGGTGAGCCAGGGCTGAAACCATCAAGCACTCGGGGAACGACTGTAAGACAGGGAGGGGGAGTAGAGTCGCCTCCTCAGAGAAGTGTTGCCTGTTCCCATGTCCTTTTATTTTTTCTGACCTTAGTTTCATGGTCTTCAAGAAAGTGACACTCTTGCCCCACTCCTTTGCCTTTGCACTCCTCCAGACAGGTTTCTGAGTAGGCCAAGGCCACATCCTCGGCATCTGCTAATGTTTCTCTAAGAAATCCTGGTACTTCTTAGATTCCTGGAAACCTCTAGATAGTTTAAGAGTTATAGCTAGCCTCCTGAATTCACCCTCTTTTGGTGGCCCTTCACCCATATAGGCTCTCTCTCTCTCTCTCTCTCACACACACACACACAGCCACACTCTCATACACACATACACCATTCACACACACATTCATACATGTAAACACATTCATACGTTCACACACACACATACATATACATACATACACACAGACACACTCATACACACACACACCATTCACACACACATACACGTAAACACATTCATACATTCACACACACACATACATACATACACACACACACATACTTATACACATACACAGTCACAAACACACACACACACACACACACACACACACACACACACACCCTCCCCACTCCTCCAATGCTTCCATCTTGATTCTTGGCTCTCCAGGCCATAGCTAGTAACATCGGTCCAAACGATGGAGAAAGGCAGCCACTGGAGAAAGACTCTGATCCCATAAAAGGGAATTATGAGAGGATATGAACAATTATAGAATAAGAAAACGGGCATAAACATTAGCAGGATAAAAGCAGGGTAGGTATTAGGAGGAATTTTCTAATCAGAAGTCAAGATCAGTGGACTTGAAGTAGTTTTCTCTGATAATTTTTGAGAAAGAATTAGACAGCAGTGTGTCTGAGAGACAAGTCATGCTGGGAGCAGGCCGGTCACAACCAAAGGCCCTTAAAGGACTTTTCAAGATGCCTTTTCTCTAAGACTCTATGAAGGGAGAAAACCAAACTGTGACTGTGACAGACCTGCTCTTAGAAAACCTAGGCTCTTAAAGGCTCTAAGCTTTGGTTCACATCCCTCCTGGCATCCAAGGAGGAGAAAGACCTAGGGCATCAGAGGAAGCTATGCCTCCCCAAGGTCAGGACAATTTACACCTCACTTGACTGCGGATGTGTGAAAGAGACGCCTCCCCTGGCATTAACTTTCTTAGCAAAGAGTCAGATTGCACCTGGGTTGGGCTGGGAGGCGATTGGAGAGTGTGCTGCTGACCTGCTGACCGGGCATCTGAAGCTGCCACACTCTCTCCTGCCACCTCTGCACGTAGTCAGCTTTGTTAGCCTCACGCCCATCCTCTGCCCTCCCACAGGGAGCCAGGACCCTGCTGGGAGCAGGGGTCTCACCTACTCATCCTCAAAGTCCATTCTAGAGACTTTTTTTTTTTTAAAGATGGGGTTTCACCATGTTGGCCAGGCTGGTCTTGAACTCTTGACCTCAGGTGATCCACCCACCTCGGCCTCCCAAAGTGCTAGGATTACAGGCGTGAGCCACCGCGCCCGGCCTCATTCTAGAGACTTAAGTTTCATCATCTCGTCAGGAAACCCACTGATGAGCAGAGAACCAGCAATGGAACCGTCCAGGAAGGGAGAGGCCGCCGTCCCCGCCGGCAGCCTCTTTCCTCACTCTCTCTGCCCAGCTAGGATCCCCTCTGGATCTCAAGGGCCAGTCTGCTCCTCTTCCCCTAACTCCCCCACCTTAGCTTATGTTCCACACAAACCCATTTCTTTCATTTTTCTCTTTATTTCAGGTGTAAGAATGCTAACATTTTCCAAGGTGTTTTTCTTTTCTTTCTTTCTTTTTTGAGATGGAATTTTTTCGCTCTTGTCTCCCTGGCTGGAGTGTGATGATGCGATCTCAGCTCACTGCAACCTCCGCCTCAGCCTCCCGAGTAGCTGGGATTACAGGCATGTGCCACCATGCCCAGCTACTTTTGTATTTTTAGTAGAGATGGGGTTTCTCTGTGTTGGTCAGGCTGGTCTCAAACTCCCAACCTCAAGTGATCTGCCCGCCTCGACCTCCCAAAGTGCTGGGATTACATGCCTGGCCCCAAGGTGTTTTTCTAAGAAACAAACGCTAGGTGGAAACACATACGTCAGCTCACGGCTACCCACAAGAGCCCATTCCCTACCTGAGGTCTTGGCAGGGCAGGGTTCAGTGGGCACCTCTGCCAGGCGTGAAGGCCTGGGCTCCTCTCCCCACCTCAACCCTTTGCAGTCCTTGGTTATGTCTAGCCCTGCCTTCCCTCCAAGCCTCCTCCCTCCAGGGGCAGGCCACTGTCTGAGCCCTGATTTGGTGCTCAGTGCTGGGTGGACGCTGGCAGGCAGGACACAGGTCATGCTTTGAGAATGGGTCCTTCAGACACACAATCCTAAACGGGGAAGCAGGAGTCTCAGGTGCCAGGCACATCGTCGCTGCTAGCCGGGAGGTCTCCAGAACACCGGCTTCTCTCTCAGAGCCCTCTTGCTCCCCGCGTCCTTCTTCTGGTGCTTATAGGCCCTTCCCAATGCCGACATTCTGTAGGCAGGCAACGAAGGGACAGCAGAGCCACCTTCTCTGCAGCCCTCTCCCCGGCAAATGTAAGAAGGGTTATTTCCTCCCCCAGCAGTGGGGAACCAAGCCCAACAAGATGAGGTTTTGACCCTCCTCTCCAAGCACGGCCCTCTTTTTCAAAACACCCTTAAGTCATATCCGCCTGTTTTCAACTCCTTGGTTGCTTGCCAAGATGGCCACAGGAGAGGAGCCCATCACACAAACGCTGCTTCTGTTCTTTACGCCCCACCCCTCCCAAGCCGCCAAAGCCCAACCGGGGGCAGCCACAGCAGGGACACTCAGCTCCCTGGGGCTGCTGCATCTGTGCTGAGGCAGTCAAGGCCTGAGCAGGGCTCAGAGGATGGCACACAAGCCTGTCAAGTCCTCTCATCACGTGTTCCTAGGTGCAGTCTAAGACAAGCACAGCCCAGGCGAAAACATCAGCCACACAGCAGAAAAGGAAACTGCAGAAATAAAATGGACTGTGCGTTGTATATTGCTATTGATCTTCATCTGCAAAAGTCTCGAGATTATCATGACTTGAGATTATCAAGACCTTGAGATTATCATGGGGAGATTCTGGGAGTGAAGTTCTCTGGACAACGCTCTGACGATTGAGCTGGAGGAAGAACACAGTAGAACCTCTGTTTCGGTTGCGTCACTTACGTGTTTGTGTTATGTAATATACATATTTAAACAGTCCGTAAGTGAGCATACATATGTCACAGTGAATGCTCAGGGAAGTATTTTCACAGAAGTGTGCCTTATCAAAGAGTCTGGAATCCACTATCAAGCAGTCATGCTGTTTACCACAGGAATGTACCAGGGGTGAAGTTCTTCCAACTGCCAAGAATGAACTGTCACAGGGAGTCTGGGTTGTTGGGAACTGAAGCACTGTCACATTCCACTGAAGATAACATCAGCCAGGCAACTGCCTCTGCCTGAGAAAGCGGGAGACAGCAGTCAGGAAAAGGCTAGAAAATGGTGTCCGTCTCAGCCAGGCCCCCAGGGAACCCAGAGGGAATATTTGTGCTTTGGCAGCAAAGACAGTGTGGGGCATCCCAAGAGGAAGCAAATGACACCTGATCATTCTCCGAGCCTACACTCAGCACTTTTCCAGCATCTCCTGTCTTCGTCCTGGAAGCCCGTACTGAGCTCCACTTCTCCCTGGGACAGGCCCGTGAAATCAAGGCGAAACGGGCGGTGGACCTGGTCTGTCCCAGAATCTGTTTGTACAGAGTGATCCTCGGCAAACTGAAATAAGACGGCAAAGGTGCCCGGGAGCAGAGTGGCCATGCAGAGTAAGGGACCCTGACGCGCTCCCTCTGCAGTGATGTCAGTGTTGTCTCTGTGGGCGGCTGGGCAGGCCAGGGTGTTGACTCTGCCTGCAGAATGGAGAGCATTCTCCCAAGCCTCATACCTAACTGGGAGGTCAGGATTAACGTGAAAAGTGGCCGTGATGAAAGGAAAGGTAAGGGCAAATGTAGAAAAGGGTGGAAAGGCAAACCACGCAGACGAGGCTGGTCTATACACAAGCAGAAAAATAAAAATGCGTCCATCAGGGCCGGGCGCGGTGGCTCAAGCCTGTAATCCGAGCACTTTGGGAGGCCGAGGCGGGTGGATCACGAGGTCAAGAGATCGAGACCATCCTGGTCAACACGGTGAAACCCCGTCTCTACTAAAAATACAAAAAATTAGCTGGGCATGGTGGCGCGTGCCTGTAATCCCAGCTACTCAGGAGGCTGAGGCAGGAGAATTGCCTGAACCCAGGAGGCGGAGGTTGCGGTGAGCCGAGATCGCGCCATTGCACTCCAGCCTGGGTAACATGAGTGAAACTCCGTCTCAAAAAACAAAAAACAAACAAACAAAAAAAAATGCGTCCATCAGGATGGAAAGCCTCAGGATGATGGAAAGTCACTACTTGAGAGTTACAAATTAAAAGAAGTGTCAGACTTGAGCTCCAGTACTCTTTCTGCTGAGACCTTAACGTTCCCCAGGGCGTTCCTTAAGCCAACCCCTCATCCCCAAATCCCAGCAGGATGATGGGAGCACTCTTCCCCTTCCCTCTAAGAAGGGCTTAATTTGGTGACTGACTCCTGGGCCACCCACCCACAGCAGGCAGCTGGATGCAGGGTTTACTTTCTCTGGGTATGCATCTCCTGTTCTCTCTCTTTCCATCATTCAGAGCACCCCAAGATCTGGCTACCTCGGGCCCTGAGGCAGACCTACATCCGGAAGGTTGGGGACACAGTGAACCTACTAATCCCATTCCAGGTGATCATGCCAGCCCCACACTCGGCCTATGTCTGGGGCCAGCCCAGGCTTTGGATTTGGAAACAGATACTAAGAGTCCTACTAGCAGAGGGGCAATCTTCCCACCCTTGGATAGAAGGGGTCACGCCACCAGAAGTCTGAGGCCAAATGACCCCTGCACTCCTGAGGGTGGGTTTGGGTAGGACTAGTGTGCCCCATGAGACGGTGTGAGGCAGATCCATGCCCTTTAGTCTGCAGAGGCCTGGGAGCTTGAGACTAGGAGCATTCTTAGGAGTTTGAGTAGCTATTTAGTCGGTCCCAGCTGCCTCGGGTGTCCATGACGTAAGCTCTCAGAGGTTGGGGGACTCAAAGCCATCCCTCTTTCCCAAGATCCTTAGGCTGTTGCTGAAAGGAGGAGGCCCCCAGAAGGGTCCACCAACTTCTAAGTCAAGGAATGTGCAGCTCCAAGTCAAGCCTCCCTGTGAACCTGGAGTGGGCGGGACCCTTACAGCAGCAGGGAAAGTCAAGAAGCCTCTCGGGGCTGCTCAAAGCGTTACCCTCGTTCCTCAGGGCAAGCCCAAACCTCAAGCCACCTGGACACACAATGGCTGTGCCTTGGACACCAGCCGTGTGAGCGTGCGGAATGGGGAGCGAGACTCCATCCTCTTCATCCGAGAAGCCCAACGTGCTGACTCAGGTCGCTACCAACTCCGTGTCCAGCTAGGCGGGCTGGAGGCCACGGCCACCATTGACATCCTGGTGATTGGTACGGTGGGGGGAGTGGGACTTGGGGGGGGTCCTCAGGAACTCCCTCTCCAGGCTGAAGAGGAGCCAGCTGAGAGAGCTGGGGAAGCTGGGCAAGGCCCCCACATTGTATCTGGGACACAGGGTTGGTGCAGAAGGGGTAGCTAGCAGGAAAAGGGGCCGGGGCACTCCTGAGGTGACTTCAGTGCATGTGGGCTGTTCCGCACCCACTGCCATAGCTTTGCCCTTTCAGAGAGGCCAGGCCCTCCTCAGAGTATTAAGCTGGTGGACGTCTGGGGCTTCAACGCTACCCTGGAATGGACACCTCCCCAAGATACGGGCAATACAGCACTCCTGGGATACACGGTGCAGAAGGCTGACACAAAATCTGGGGTGAGGCCAGCTGGGAAGGAAGGAGGGTGGAAGAGGGCATGCTGGAACAGGCCTGTGCCAGCTCCACGTCGGGTGGCTGATTTGTGGCATCATGTCGGGGCCCCGCAGCTGTGGTTCACAGTGCTGGAGCACTATCACCGCACCAGCTGCATTGTCTCCAACCTCATCATCGGCAACTCCTATGCCTTCCGCGTCTTTGCTGAAAACCAGTGCGGACTCAGTGAAACAGCCCCCATCACCACTGACCTCGCCCACATCCAGAAAGCAGGTAAGGAGGGCATGGGGACTGTGAGCTGGGAAGACTTAAGGATAGACCTGGCGCAGTGGCTCACGATAATCCCAGCACTTTGGGAGGCCGAGGCGGCGGATCACCTGAGGTCAGGAGTTCAAAACCAGCCTGGCCAACATGGTGAAACCTCATCTCTACTAAAAATACAAAAATTAGCCAGGCATGGTGGTGCATGCCTGTAATCCCAGCTCCTCAGGAGGCTGAGGCAGGAGAATTGCTTGAATTAGAGAGGCGGAGGTTGCAGTGAGCCGAGATCACACCACTGCACTCCAGCCTGGGCAATAGAGTGAGACTCCATCTCAGGAAAAAAAAAACAAAAAAAACTTAAGAATAAAGTGTCGACAAGGGCTGGGGTCGCAGAAGCTACATCCTGGCCCCTCTTGGTGTCCTCAGCTACTGTTTACAAGACCAAGGGGTTTGCCCAGCGAGACTTTTCTGAAGCCCCAAAGTTTACCCAGCCTCTGGCCAACTGCACTACAGTCACCGGCTATAATACCCAGCTCTTCTGCTGTGTCCGTGCCTCTCCCCGGGTGAGTGGGGGTTCTGGGGGGGTGCTGTGCTGAACTGCTTCCTGTTCCTGCCTGTCCTAACCTAAGCTGAGTTGCAGAGCATTGTAACATAACACCTGTTACCATCACCACCATCTGCCTCTTCAACACCACGGTATTTAGGAAGAGTTGCGGTAGCTGGAGTCCAAGACGGACTGATGAGAGTGACATTTCCTTTTGTGTTTGTTCCTAATATATGAAGATGTTGCTTACTGACCTGCTGGCAATTAGGCATGCGCTTCAGTTGTTTCTCTGGTGGGAATGACAGCGTCCGGGTGGTTTCTGCTTACCTATCTGTATCTCATCCAATCAGGGCCGTGCACATGCAAACTGCCTAGAGTTCAGCCTTTGGCCACAACCCTGAGCAAGACCTCTCTGTTTACAATCTAGTCATCATGCTCCGCACACAGGATTAAACACCATTAACAACCTGTACCAAGAACCTTTTGGGTTTTGAGTCTGGGCCAGGCTACATGGAGATAACATCTCAGAAGAGGGATGTCAATAGCCCACTCTAGAAACTATTCTCTAACCAGAGGTGACAGAGTCAACTCATAAGTGAGCAGTGGGGGTAGAATACAAATGATTCACAAGAGGAGAGCCCGATGCTCAGTACTTCTGAGCCATAAAGGGGCTACCTGAGATCATGGAACAGAAATTAGCAGTTTTCTTCCAGTCAGAAATATTGGTGAAGAAAGTGACGTTTCAGGTGCTATTTTCAACCAAGAGAAGGAGCTTGGGGGACTGCTGAGGTACTGGAAGGGGAACCCCTTTCCACAATGTAGGGAACAGGGAGCCCCCTAGAAAGCCATTATCTATACGTGGACAGAGTCCCAGAGACTGAGCACAGAAAGACCGTTGGTTCTTACCCCTGCTCTTCCTTGCTGCTTCCCTCATCTTTGTCTTCCAGCCCAAGATCATCTGGCTGAAGAACAAGATGGATATCCAAGGCAACCCTAAGTATAGAGCCCTGACTCACCTGGGGATCTGCTCCCTAGAGATCCGCAAGCCTGGTCCCTTTGATGGAGGCATCTATACCTGCAAGGCAGTGAACCCCCTAGGGGAGGCATCTGTGGACTGTCGGGTGGATGTGAAAGGTAAGGGCAAGAGGAGAATTAGCGCCTTAGGCTACCGGTCGCCTCTTCTCTCCACCGTGGAAGAGTCAAGGGCCAGAGATGCAAGTCTAGGTAGAGAAGGGGTTCCCCTGCTGGACACTCTCATCACTGTCATCATTAGGATGTATTGGAGGAGATATTTTACTTTATTTTATTTATTTATTTATTATTTTTATTTATTTATTTTTTGAGATGAAGTTTCGCTCTTGTTACCCAGGCTGGAGTGCAATGGCGCGATCTCGGCTCACCGCAACTTCCGCCTCCTGGGTTCAAGCAATTCTCCTGCCTCAGCCTCCCGAGTAGCTGGGATTACAGGTGTGCGCCACCATGCCCAGCTAATTTTTGTATTTTTAGTAGAGACAGGGTTTCACCTTGTTGACCAGGATGGTCTCGAACTCTTGACCTTGTGATCCGCTTGTCTCGGCCTCTCAAAGTGCTAGGATTACAGGCATGAGCCACCACGCCCAGCCTGGAGGAAATATTTTAATTACCTACTCTCTCATGTCTCTCCATCATAATTTAATAATATAGGAAGAGTTATTATTTCCATTTTGCAAAGGAGAAAACAAAAGTATAGGGAGAGAACTGGTTTGCCCAAGAGTTCCAGTGTCAGGTAATTGACCACCTGGCACTGGTGGAAAGAGCCCAGGTCTCTCGGTCCTCACTCAGATCGTTTTCTTTATGCCATGCAATCTTCTGATTCAGCCTAGGAAAGCTGCCGCTGTTTGTTGGGCTTTGTTCCACTTCCCCTTTGGTTGTTTAGAGGTAATACTGCAGATCCTCTCTACTTCCTTGAAGTATTTAGTCACTTATCTATACCTGTCACCTTGTTCAGACCTCTATCATTGTGTTTAACATATTTTTTATAATTATCTATTTATAGATGTTTCCCTGTTAAATTATAAGCACTTCGATGGCAGGGACGGAGTCTTATTCGCCTTTGTCCTTGCAGTGTTTAGCCCAGTTTCTGACACACAGTGGGTACTCTAAATGTTTTTTGCATGAATCGAGAATGAATGAGCCCTTACATGTCCAGTTCTTCTCTATGTATAGACTACCTAATTAGCACCATTGACTCCCCAAAAACCCGAAATAGAATATTCCTTTCTAATGCTCTGAAAGAAGGTTTCTCAGAGATTTCTGAGATTTTAACACTGAGAAATATCTGAATTATTGCAGTTCCTAATTGAGGACACCTAAGAGGATGTGGCGCTCTGATAAAGGTAAGTAAAAAGAGGCAAGGTGTCTCAGTGGATTAGTTCATGTTTATGGCTAGTTTTGTTGAGTCAGGGACAGGGGTGCATTCCTGAGCCTTTCAGTCATGTATCCACTGGTGACCACTTTGTTGTAACCATTTTTTGTTGTTGTTGTTATTTAGTCTTTATTTCATAATCATAAGCTTAACTCAACTCTGCAATCCAGCTAGGTATGGAAGGGAACAAGGAAAACATGGAACCCAAAGGGAACTGCAGGGAGAGCACAGATTTTAGGATACTTCGAGCAAATGGGTGGAGGGCGCTCTCCTGAGCTACAGAAGGAATGTCTGGTGGTTAAGATAAAACACAAGTCAAACTTGTTAGTGTTGTCCACAGTCAGCAGTGGTGATCTTCTTGCTGGTCTTGCCATTCCTGGACCCAAAGCACTCCATGGCCTCCACAATATTCATGCCTTCTTTTACCTTGCCAAAGACCACATGTTTACCATCCAACCACTCAGTCTTGACAGTGCAGATGAAAAACTGGGAACCGTTTGTGTTGGGTCCAGCATTTGCCATGGACGAGATGCTGGGACCTGTATGGTTTAGGATGAAGTTCTCATCATCAAATTTCTCCCCGTACATGGACTTGCCTCCAGTGCCATTATGGCGTGTGAAGTCACCACCCTGATACATAAACCCTGGAATAATTCTGTGAAAGCTAGAACCCTTATAACCAAATCCTTTCTCTCCAGTGCTCCGAGCACGAAAGTTTTCTGCTGTCTTTGGAAACTTGTCTGCAAACAGCTCGAAGGAGACGCAGCCCAAGGGCTCACCGTTGATAGCAATGTCGAAGAACACAGTGGGGTTGACCATGGCTGATACTACCAGGCTCCAGGAGGCGTCGGCGTCTGCAAAGCCGTAACCGTTTTTTTTTTTTTTTTTGAGATGAAGTCTTGCTCTGTTGCCCAGGCTGGAATGCAGTGGTGCCATCTTGGCTCACTGCAATCTCTACCTCTTGGGTTCAAGCGATTCTCCTGCCTCAGCCTCCCGAGTAGCTGGGATTACAGGCACATGCCACCATGCCTGGCTAAGTTTTGTGTTTTTAGTAGTGATGGAGTTTCACCATGTTGGCCAGGCTGGTCTTAAACTCCTGACCTCGGCCTCCCAAAGTCCTGGGATTACAGGTGTGAGCCACCACGCCCAGCTGTTGTAACCATTTTTAAAAGCGAATACCATCATCCCTGTGGAGAGAATTTATACTAGCTGCAGTCTGCTTTTGTCATATCCTCTCTCTGTCTGCACTCCTCAAGTCAATGGTAGGAATTAAACCTAATGGTCCTCTGAAGAAGAGTGATAGCATCCACCTAGTCATAAGGAGGTTCTGTGGGAGGGAGCTGGGCAGGTGTTGTAGGAAAAGATGTCAAGGAAGCCACAGGAGTCACAGCGCTATATGCCTGTGGGGTGGGTAAGGACAGGGAGGCTGCTCCTCGATTGAGTAAACACCTCAGGATCGTAAGCATGGTAAAAAAACAGATTAATACATTTGTCTTTTACTTTGAAGCTTGTAGATTCCTTCCCTTCCAAGAGAAGAAAATCCTCCTTCTCATTTATGTCAATTATAATTTAACCTTTCGGTGTGTGGTCCCAAGCAGCACATTAGTGGCAAAAGGCAACTCAGCTCATCATTTAGAACTTGGCAGCTCCTTTAGATTTTCCGTCATTCACAGCAGGTATGTTGTGTACAAACTGAGGCTAAGGTGAGAAAGAAGCTTGAGACAGAACGAGAGAGAACAAGTTCCCAGTGTCCCCTCTGACTTGCAGCTGCTGGCTGATGGAAATTGAAAATGAATTTGATCCCAGAAGACATTTATTTAAGGCTCTCACTGGTATGTAGCAAATGAAAGCCCTAAGGGATGCGTTACAAGTACAAACTTCTCAGGAAAGTGCTCTCCCACTTCTCTGCAAGTCGGCTTGCAGAGACAGCTCTCCCTCCCTCACCTCCCTCTCTGTGTTAATGTTATTTGTATTCGAGCTAGTTGCCCCTTTCCCTCTCTCACCGCCAGTGCCCAGCAATGAAGTGAATTCATGGCACAGGAGCCAGGGACCGTGAGGAGGATGCCCTCAGCAGCCTGGTGTGCTCTGGCCGTGTGCTGTCATGGCTACAAAATGCTCTCTCTTTCCAGTGCCTCCAGGAAGCCCGCCCGTGGTGAGATTCTGTCCTCCAGGAGCTTCAGCACCATGTCTGGTTTGGATTCATCTAAATAAATGTGTGACTCCCCAGTGCCTAAGTGTCCCTGTATTTGTGACTTTCTATGAAACATTTGGAAAGCTGCCATCCTTTAGCCAGGCTGTAAAGAACCTCAGGGCCCTAAGGCTCCCCTATCTATTCCCACATCCACATTCTCTTCCATAGAGCTTTCTAACGCTGTCCATTTCCCTAGACATCCATGACAGAACCGAATTCAACTCTCCACAGTACCAAGTGCTGGAAAGAGATGCCAAAGGTGACTTACTCTCTGCCTCTATGGGCTTTCCAATTTAAGTAGGGATAACGGTATGCACATCCACCGCAAAGAGGCAAACAGCAGAACACTAATATACACATAGCTGATAAAGACAGAGCTCCAAGACCTGAGGGCAGTAATGATACTCAAGAAATTGGAGGGCTGGGCACTGTGGCTCACACCTGTAATCCCAGCACTTTGGGAGGCTAAGGTGGGTGGATCACTTGAGATCAGGAGTTCAAGACCAGCCCAGCCAATGTGGTGAAACCCTGTCTCTACTAAAAATACAAAAATTAGGCTGGGCGCAGTGGCTCACACTTGTAATCCCAGCACTTTGGGAGGCCAAGGCAGGCGAATCGCTTGAGGTCAAGAATTCAAACCCAGCCTGGCCAACATGGTGAAACCTTGTCACTATTAAAAATACAAAAAAAATGAACAAGCATGGTGGCAGATGCCTGTAATCCCAGCTACTTGGGAGGCTGAGGCAGGAGAATCCCTTGAACCCAGGAGGCAGAGGTTGCAGTGAATCTATATTCTCTCCCCCCCCTGCTGGAAAAAAAAAAGAACCTTTCTCCCCAAAAAAAAAAAAAAAAAAAAAAAAGAAAGAAAAGAAATTGGAGCAGAGTCACATTAAGCCCTGGGGGAAGAATAAAAGTGAGGTTCCCTTGATTAGCTTTGTTTTTGTTCTGATGACAAATAAGATGCTGAAGGTGTTCTGTGATAGAATCTGCAGAAGATGATAACAGTTCCTCCTATTTTGTATGAGCGTGGTGCTCCTCTCATCAAGAGTTGGAGACTATTTCCCCTTCCCTTGAATCATGTGACTTGCTTTGACCAAAGAATGTAGCAGAAGTGATGTGGCGCTGGCCCTGGCCTGGGCCTTAAGAGGTACCAGAGCTTCTGCTTTTCCTCTTAGAAGTCAGCCCCCGGCCGGGCATGGTGACTCACACTTGTAATCAGCACTTTGGGAGGCCGAGGTGGGCGGATCACGAGGTCAGGAGATCAAGACCATCTGGGCCAACATGGTGAAACCCTGTCTCTACTAAAAATACAAAAAAATTAGCTGGGCGTGACGGCACATGCCTGTAATCCCAGCTACTTGGGAGGCTGAGGCAGGAGAATTGCTTGAACCCAGGGGGCGGAGATTGCAGTGAGCCGTGATTGCGCCCCTGCACTACAGCCTGGGTGACAATGTGAGATTCCGTCTTAAAAAAAAAAAAAAAAGCATCCATTTAAAGGATCTCAGGCTAGATTACTGAATTATGAGAGGCCACATGGAGGACAACCAAGCATCCCAGCTGAGAGCCAGCACCATGGCCCTGGACACGTGTCGCCACCTTGGACCCTACAGCCCCAGTTAAGCCCAATCAACACCTTGTAGAGTAGAGACAAGTCATCCCTGCAGAGCCCTGCCCAAATTGTAAAATCGTGAGCAAATCAATAGTGGCTGTTGTTGCAAGCCACTAAATTTTGAAATGGTTTGTTACTCATAGATTACTGAAACAGCCATCTATGCAGCAGGCGCGGAACTCTCTGTGCTTTATCTCTTTTAATCTTCATTTTACAAATGAGGAAGTAGAAGCTCGTAAGTTGTCCCAAGTCACGCAGCTGGTAAGCAGCAGAGCTAGGATTTGAACTAGGTCTGTTTGACTCCAGGACTTTCTGTCTTCTCTCATCTCTTTCATCCAGTGAGCCCCACTGTAGAGGGTCTGGGCTGGAATCATGCATTGAAGAATGAAAATATTTCCAGGAGGCAATAAACTTTTTGAGGAGGTTGGGGAAATGATTTGGCTGAGCAGAATGTGAAGGACCTTTGTGTTCAGACCAAAGGTCTATTTTCAGTTGAGGTAAAGCATTCCAGTCCTCAACCGGAGTTTCACAAGAATTAAGCCTCCATGCCATAAGGCATTCTTTGAATCATAAGTTATTTCTATGCAATCAGAATGTTACTAATTATATACTATCCCTTTGAAAATTGAGAAAATAATCATGCAAGTCATCTTCAGGGTACCCCTGCTTGACAATGTCATGGGAGGGACCAGAGTCCAGTGCCAGCCAGCCATGAACACGATGGCAAAGAGGCCTCCCTCCAGTGGAAGCAGGACCTAGGTCAGGAAGGGGTGAAACACCCCCAGTTACAATGCCCTAGGGATAAGTCAGACCTTTGGCCTCAGACCATGGCCCCATGCCTCTGCTGTTCCCTGGATTACTCAAGGGCCATCCCTTAAAGATGATATATTCCCACCCTTCATGGTGAAGAAATAAAATTACACTGCCCAAGACCTTCAGCCACATTCTGCATTGAAGGAGAAGCATGCTGGAGTCCTTATTCTCATTTATGCATCTGACACTTAAGGAGCACTTCTGAGTTCAGGCCTACTCTGTGACTGGGAGATGTAGAATTTCTTCATTAATTCATTATTTATCCAAAATCTGAAACACCTGTTGCTACACATTATTTTGGGGTTGAGGTGAGGAAAGCAAATATCAAATGTTTCCCAGATTACTGGTTGGGCGAAGAATTTTTGTGTCTGAAAGCTATAGTTTCTAACTTTGCTGTCTTTCTAATGGAGGTGAAAGTATTTCCGTTGCTTTTTTTTTTTTTCCTGGTACTGTAACAGCTTTCAAAATGATAATTTGGAGTTTCCTTAGGAGAAATTACCTTCCAGTTTGCTCAAACTTCCTCCTCTGCTCATTTAAAGATGAATGAAGTATATAGTTTCTCCACTGCCCACTGCTCCTAGGGGAAGAAAGAATGCAGTTAGTTAACAGCTTCTTCCCCTCTGATCTCCACTTTGCTACTTTCCTAGAGAGAGGGAAGCCCTGCTGGCTCTGATCTTCCCACACTCCATGCACCCTAAGTCCTGCAAGGAACAGGCATTCCATCTTCAGTAGCAGTGAGCGGCAATCCTCTTCTCTCTGCTCTTCCTCACATAAACTTGCAAGTTCTGTGTCTTCCTACCCTAAATTCTAAGGTTGTCAATGAAAACAGTTAAATTCTGTAAAATATTTGAAGACATTTCTTCTGAGCCAAATATAAGTGACCAAGGTCCCCTGACACAGCCCCAGAAGATCCTGACAACATGTGCCCAAGGTGGCTGGGATACAGCTTTCAAACATTTCAGGGAGACATAAGACATCAATCAATACATGTAAGATGTACATTGATTCAGTCCGAAACGCCAGGCAACTTGAAGCAGGGGTGGAGGAGCTTCCAGGTCATAGGCAGATTGAAAGGTTTTTGTTAAAATGGGCACTCTGAATGAAGAGACCCTCCCCACAGCCTCACACCAAACAGGTTTTGTGTGAGCAACATGGCTGTTTATTCTCCCAGGTGCAGGCAGGCTGAGTCCAAAAAGAGAGCCAGCAGAGGGCGGTGGGATAAGAGTTGGTTTTATAGGTTTGGCGCAGGTGATGGAAAGTTACAGAAGTTACAGTTTGGGGAGGTTTTTGCAAGCTGGGAGGGGGTCGTAGGGTCTGGAATCAAGAGGTTGACCAAGGTTGGTTACAAAGTCCAATTGCCTTATCAGTTGAGGTGGAAATAAGAAACAATAGAATAATGTCTTAATCCAGCAGTGGTTGATCATTCTTCCCCTTTTTGTGGTTTTCCAGTTACTTCAGACTTTCTAGTTCCAGGAACTCATCTGGAATGTCCTTGCAGGTCACAGAGGTTACCATGGCGCCATCAGTTAGCCTAAGAGACCTCACAATTTTCTGATTGGCAATTGGTTAAAGAGTTATTATCCAAGACCTGGAACCAATAGAAAGGAATGTCTGGGTTGAGATAAAAGGTTATGGAGACCAAGGTTTTATTATGCAAGTGAAGCCTCCAGGTAGCAGGCTGCAGAGCTCTTAGCAGACCTAAAAAGTTGTCAGACTCCTAGTTCTCTTCTGGATCAGGGAAAAGACCTGGAAAGGAACAGGGATTCTCTACAGAATGTAGATGTTCCCCGCAAGAGACAGCTCTGCAGAGCAATTTCAAAATATGTCAAAGAAATATATTTTGGTGAGAGCTTAGTTATGAAGACGAAAAAGGCATAAGAATGATAAAATGGACTTTGGGGACTCAGGGAAAAGGGTGGGGTGGGGTAAGGGATAAAAGACTACATATTGGGTGCAATGTACACTGCTTGGGTGATGGGTGCACCAAAATCTCAGAAATCACTGCAAGAGAACTTATTCATGTAACCAAACACCACCTGTTCCTCAAAGACCTATTGAAAAATATATACATTGCATTGGTAAACGCTCATGGACATTGCCCATAACCTGATCCCAAAGGACAGGAGTTAATTAG